GTTACCACTGGAAGGTTTCTCAAGAATCAGACAAATTAATGTCCTTCCTGCTTTCTCCAACTTCAAACTTTATAGACAGCTTGTCTTCAGGGAGCTGAGCTACTAGAACTCACTGTTCCCCCATCTTGTCCTCTCCCTGTGTTTTTTGTTGATGTTCTCTGAGTCTCCAACATAGCTCTTCCTTTACTCAGCCATGTTAGATCATCCAACTCATTTCTTCTCATTGGATCTTTAATCACCTTCTATGATGTCACTTTCCTCTACTCAACCATGCTGAATCTCTTGTTCCAGACTGTTGCCTTGTCCAAGAGGTAGTCCATTGTCTGGGTGGCATTTCTGCTGTCCTGAATAGAAAGGGGAACAAATCAGCTCCAAGTTGGCAGAGGCTGAGCAAGTTTCATTTTTTGCACATGGACTTCTATTGTTCTAGCACAGTTTGTAAAAAAGACTATGTTTTCCCCAATTGCCTCTGTGCTTTTGTATACAATCAGTTGACTGTATATGAGTGGTTCTATTTCTGAAATATTTATTTTATTCTTTTGCCAATACCAATACAGAGTATTATAGCTTTGAAGTAAATCTCAGAATCAGGTAGTGGGGTTCTTTCAATATTGATTTTATTTTGCTAATTATTTTAGCCATTCTAGTTCTTTTTCTCTATGATGTAAATTTTAGAATCAGTTTATCTATATCTAGAAAAATCCTAGTGGGAATTTTGATTGATAGCATGCCAAATATATAAGTTATTTTTTTTTAAATTTTATTTAAAAGGACAAAGAGAAAAAACAAAACAAAGCGGTGTAAGGGTACAAGTAATACAGAACTACAAAAAACCAGTAAGAAATCACCAGTTAATAGATTACACATTATCTTAGAGATAGTTGCTCAAGTCACAGTATCAAAACATACAAAGTGAACATTCAGAGAGACTGCAAACAGTTGTGTTCAGTGATCCAACTAAAAACATTAATATGGTCAGCTATTTAACACCCCTAAACACACTTGCAGTTGTATCCTTTAGTGCACTTTTTTCCCTCTCTTTTTTACAACAAAATTTACACATTTTGGGTTTTATTACTCCTTAGTTCTTATTACTTTTTCTTTGGAAGAGAATAAAGTCAAATATGGCAAAACAAAGCTGTCAGTCAAAACCAAGGATAGACAGAGTACATGATGTAAAAACAGAGTACAAGGTTATCAACAATGGTTACCATAATGCCTCTTGTTTCCTTAAAAAGAATTGTCTATCTCATTAGGTATTATAAAGTTGAACAAAACAGTAGAGAACAAGACCAATAAAACTTAAACATTATAAACATTACAGGACTTCCAAAGGAGATAATAGTCAAACCAGAATGGGTTACTTTGGCGTGAACAGACAGCTTTACTGTGTTGAGTCTTCTTATCCTTCATCTATCCAGAATCTACCTATTTATTTAGTATCTTATTTCTTTCAACATTTTGTAGTTTTCATAAAACAGATTCATATGTTTTGTTAGCATTATATCTAAGATTGTTATCTTATAGAGCTATTATAAATATAACCTTTTACTTTTAGTTTTTGGTTTTTAGTTGATCACATATAAGAATGTGACTAATTTGTGTGTGTTGACTTTGTATCTTATGAACTTGATAGATTCATTTGTTCAAGAAAAAAGTTTTGGAAATTCCCTGTGATTTTCTGCATATACAATTAAGTTGACTGTGTAGCACAATGGATCTGTTTCTTCCTTTTCAATCTATATGCCTTTTATTTCCTTATTTGATTTATTGTATGGACTAGGAGTTCCAGTACTATGTTGAATGAGAGTGGACATACTTGCCTTGTTTCTGATGTTAGAAAAAATCATATAAAATATGATGTTAGCTGTAGGTTTTTTTGTAGATATCTTTTATCTGTTTGAGAACTATGCCTAATTTACTGAGAGTCTTCATCATGAGTGGATGCTGTATTTTACCAAAAGTTTTATTTTTCGTATGTTGACATAGTGTAGAATTTTATTTCTTTAGGGTGAGTTACTTTGATTTTTATGTATTGAGTCCGTCTTATATTCCTGGGATAAACCATACTTTGTTATGCTGTTACCAATTCTGCATATGATCACATTTGATTGGTCTGCTTTTTGTAACTTTAATGCTGTGTCATGAAGCATAAATTTAATGTGAATTTTCTTGTCATATAATTTTTATTTTCTAATTTTGATGCAAGTGTAATGCTGGCTTCATGGAGAAATGCCAGCTTTATCTTTATTTTCCTGAAAATATTGTATAGAATTGATATTATTTCTTCTTTAAATGTATAATAAAATTTGCCTGTGAAATCATCTGGACATGGAGAATTTTGGAAAGATACTAAATTAGAAATTCAATTTTATGCAACTAATTCAGATTATCTGCTTTATTTCTACCCTTCTCGTCAAGCCTTTTATCACACTGGTCCTTGAGGTAGGAGGTTCACCAATTCATTTTAGTTTGTATCCTAGACATTATAAGTATTGTTTTAAGATTCTGAATCTAGTTTATGAAAAAGAATGACATTTTTGTTTTAGTCTTTTATGTGTTGTGGTTCCAGTATCAGTCCCATTTTCAAGTATTTAAGTCATCCCTGTGAATGCACCACCTAGCGGTCAGTTTGGGACTTGGGCTGAAGCTCTCCTTGATGGATGAATTTCCAAATCTTTGCTATGCCAGTTAAGATCAAAGCACTCACAGATCATAGGTGAACTTTTTCCTTTTCCATGTCTTTTTAATTATTTTTAGTTTCATATGCTTCTATTTTTTGTCCTTATTCAGAAACTCTCACTGTCATAGTTGTACCATTTCCAGAAAAATGTTGCAGAGGAGCTAGACAAAAAAACTTGTATGAATTCCACTTGCATTCTCTTAGCACTCTATCCCAATCTATGAAAAAGATTTCATCTCACAGAATTTTGATACTGGTGCTTCCCATTATGAACCACTTGTGCTCCTAGGCCACCTTTGCCGTTGCCACCTTTATTGTGGTACCAAAGTAGAATACATAAAAGCCCAAAGGATTTCTCTACTCTTTCTGAACTTTAATTCTCACTTGTATTTCTCAAGCCAAAGCTACAAGCTTTTTCCTGCATCTTACTCTGCTCAACAATGCTTACTTCTGGACTTCAGGCCAAATATGTGGAACTTGAAACTGTTTACATGGTTCAGACTCTGGTGTTGTGTCCTGATACACTGTGTTACTTTTTAATAACTGGGAAACAATACCTAGTTTAAAGGAAAAAAGGTTTATTTGACATGTTTTCCAGTGGTTTCAGTCCAAAGTTGGCTGGCTCCAAGGCAGAGGGCCATGGTACAAGGGCGTGGCAGATGAAAGCTGCTGATCCAATAGCAGCTAGTAAGCTGAAAGACAAAGAACACCCAGGGACAACAATACAGCCTTCCAGGTTATACCCCTAGTGACTTACCTTCAGATAGGCTTCATCTCCAAATAGCAAATTCAGCTGCTGACTCATCAGTAAATGAATTTTTATTCAGCAGTGCATGAATTCACTAGTGAGTATAACATGCCCATGATCCAGGCACCTTCCAAACATATGAGACTTTTCAGGGGTATTTTTAATCTAAACTGTAGCATCCACCCTAATCATACCTGTTTACTTTTTAGTTTTTATACAGGTTTCCAAGTTTTATATTTTTAAATGTTAACTGAAATATTAAGACCTATATATATTTATAGGATTCCAGAAGTAAACCAGGCACAGAAAGACAACTGTCACTTGATTTCACTCATATATAGAATCTAAGTTGATCTCATAGAAATTGAAAGTAGAATAGTGGTACCAGAGTGAAGGAAGCGGACATTGGGGAAAGGTTGGTTAACAAGTACTGTGCTGTAGTTAGATAGGATCAAGGAGCCCTTGTGCACTATTGCACTATATTGGGTGACTATGGATAATAATATTGTATAATTTTTAAAAAGCTAGAAGAAATACTTTTGAGTAATCATTTTTGTGATCTCACTTTATAACTTATATTTACTTATCATTTGTACATTGTTATAACACTATACTCTTTCATATATAGTGAAGGTATAATACAATATTCCCCAATCTTCCTCCCATCTCCTATCATTGTTGTATTACATTATGCTTTCATGTATTCTATAAATACATTTTTTCTATCATTACTTTAGTCAGTAATATTTTAGGACAATTACAAATATACAAAATGCAAGGATATATTTTTACTTTGTTTCTTTTCCAATACTCTCCTTTTAATTATGTAGACCCAATTTTCTGACCTATATCATGTCTCTTTGGTTTAAAGAATTTTCTTTAATATTTCTTGTAACACAGTGCATTGTGCATTGGTAAGTGTATTGGTATGCTGGGCTTAAACTTACTCTCTTCCTGTTTAATTCAGAATGCTGGGATTACAAATTTTCCACCACACCTGGCTTTGCTCTTTTTCCTTGTTATTTTTCTCTTGCATGTAACATTTGATTCTTTCTTACACTTTCTGTCCCCATACTAAAGTTAACTATCCATTATTACTTAAACAGCCATTAATATATTAGTCATAACTTTAAAATTCTGTGTCTAATAATTCCAACATCTGTGTCTTAACTGAGAATAATCCTGATAATAGCTTTGTCTTTTTACACTTTTTCTTATGGCCTGGATTCTTCCCTTTGTGCTGCTCTCTGGAGACAGTCTATATCTCCTTTCTCTTATAGATATATTTCACTACTGTTTTTGATGGTGCTTTTTAGCCTGGTAGTGAGGAATGGAGACTAGGACATTCTGTTTTATTATGACTAAGTTTCAGTCTGAGGCAGGCTTGCCCTAAATGTTAGAGATGTGATCTTCACAAGTGTTCCTGTCAAACCTCCAGGAACAAATGTAATGATAGCCCTGGCACCTTTTCCTGCCCCTCCTAAACTAGAACTTTTTCCCATTTTTCTCTCCTAGCTGTAGTGAGTTTTCACCCCTGATCTCAGCTCCTGTTCCTCTTCCTTTTTTCAGACAAAAGAATTTTTTACCTCTTAGGAGAGATAGATTAGATTGATCTGGACTATTCCAGTGGTATTGGCTACTGCACTACCAGCTGAAGTGATTTTCCACCAGTTCTCGCAAGGTACAGGTTGTGTGCTCCTTCCTTCTATTAAGGCTTTTATTTCACAGGAATATAAACAAAATGGTTTGGTAGAATTTCAACAATGGCTATTGTTATACTCCCCACCAATGCATAACTACACGTTATTTTTCTCAGCATTCTTCGGTCTTCCATGTCAGGACCTGCATTTCTAGAGGAAAACTGCCAAACTATATAAAATCACCTGTGTCTTTAGCCCTTACAGGTTTCACATTCTCACCTTGGCCCACAAATAGCTTTCGATAATACAGTAATAATTTGTACCTGAATCTTCTTAAGAGTTTTTGTTATTCAGCAGTATCTAAAGCAAGTATACAAATACTTGAGTCCTCTTACTCCCTGAAGATGCCTGTTATTATAGATTTTCTACTGCAGCTTCTGTTTTTTGATCAAGTCAAGAGTCATTAATTTGAAGTATTTTAGCTTTTTTCATATAATGATGGGAGAGTTGCTCTTTGCAACTCTACATTTCTGAGTTGATGCTAGATCATATATGTCTGGGCATGGACTTCTGAGTTTCTGTTTGTCTTCCAGCATCCATACCCCAGTTTACCAATTCCCCCACAATGGTGATCATGGTGGGTTTACCTGCTCGAGGCAAGACCTACATCTCCACGAAGCTCACAAGATATCTCAATTGGATAGGAACACCAACTAAAGGTATGTCTCTCAAGCCATTTGTTCTACAGCTCAACTATAGGCCACTAGCTAAAAATTGAATAAGGTAGGAGGCCAAGACCTTCAATGCCTAAAGTGCTTCATCACCGTTATTACCAGGATTATAATTGCTATTGATACTATTACAATTACTACTTATACTGTACCAATACCACTACATTCTTAAAAATTTTACAGTTTCATGAGCACACATTCTGTGCCCAAGTCCGTGCTGCATGGTAGGCATAAGAAAACTAGTGTTAAGACTAAATATCTATTCTCAAAATGTCCCGTGACTTCACAACAACCCTTTGAGTAACATACTATTTTATTACCATTGCTATTATTGCTATGCAGATATTACTACTTTTATTAGTATTGATCATTTCATCAGCATTTCATTGTTGAAAAAAGACTAAGGAGGTGAAGTACCTTGCCTAGAGGAACATGGCCATAAGAGAAAGAACCAATAACTGATTCCAAGCCTGACACGCACTGTGACAGATTTAATGCACAGCTGTAATGATAGCAAAATAAAAAGAATCCTGGGTCTGGGGATTTAGCTTAGCAGCATAAGTGCCTGCCTGGCAAGCGCGAGGTTGTGAGTTTGATCCCTGGTACCAAAAAAAAAAAAAAAAAAAAAGAAAATAATCCTATATTTGCCATATAGTTTTCTTTTCTCTTCCTTTTTTCTTTCTCTTGCCCATCCCAGTATCCTATCTACCCTCTTCATTGACCCTTTCATGTTTTCTTTGCCTCTTCTTTTCCTTCTTTTTCACCTTTTCTTTCTCTGTTCTCCTTTTTTTTCTCATATTGAACCCAGGGCGTCATTCATGATAAGCTTACTCTGCCACTAAGCTATATCAAACATCCCCAAATCTTTTCCTTTTCCTTATTTCTTCTTTTCCTCTATCTCTTTACATATATCATAAGCAAAGTATTTCCCATTGGTTATCCATGTGCCAAAATTCATTCCAGGTATTGGGGATGAAAACAAAATGGATGAGACACATGCCCTGTTCCTGAAGAGTTCTCAACCTGATTTGGATATATAATAATACTTTAAATTATCTAAGAATACTCACGCAGGGTGTTGAGGGGACTCACAGAGGGAGTTACTAATTGGAAAAGTTTCCTGGATAGAGTGTATTTGTGTTGGCTCTTATGGGAAGAGGTAGATATTGGCAAAAACAAAGGCAAGAAGGAGCTACTTTCATGGAGGACTGTAAATTCTGAGGAGCCTTTGTTGAATGGAAGAGCACATGGCACAGTCACAAGTGGATCTCTGTCCAGATCTCCTTCTTTCTGTTTGCTCCCCTTACTCAGTTCTTACAGAGGCATCCAGAATAATATTTCAAAACACAAGCGTGACATCCCATTGGGTTGCAGGTTTAAATCTAGGGTCCTTAGCCTATCATTCAAAACTTTCAACAATTGGCCTCTTCTAATATTTCAGACCCCACTCACAGTAGATGATCCTTCATCCTCCAAATAGGCTCTGCCTTCTGTTAATGCTCTACCTTTGCTCAAGCTGTTCCTCTGCCTATAATACGTGTTTCACCATCCTCACCCCTACACCTACCTACAAAAGGCACCTGGCCTAAAAGGCCTAGTTCAAATGCTGTTTTCCCTTAGAAGCCTTCACATATCACCCCAAATAGAATTTGTTTTTTCTTCTCCCTCACTCCTTTGTCAGATAACCTAGCAAATTGTATGGGAACTTACTGTTCAATGGATTAATCACTATCATACCCTACCTATTAGATTGCTCCTCAAGGTTCCCATCATGAATATATGTTGCTCTGGAGATCCAGAGCTCATATTTACCTACCTCACATAGTAGGCATCAACAAGAATTTGTTAATTAGTGAATGACATATTATCTGTTGGTTGCTTATGCTCTTTTCTCTTCTTTGCTTCCCTCCTATCTGGTTTTTTGCCAGTATAAATTGGGGAAGTATAGCGTAGAAATAGAAATTTAGATTTAGATTCCCTCTCAAGATACAGAAAAATGAAATACACTAGATTGAACAGCAGGAGGTCCAGTCTATCTGTTATAGATTTGCTGATTGATTAATTTTGCTCTCTGGATCTTGATTTCTTCATCTTTCTGATAAAATAGGGCATTTGAAATGTTGTAGTTTATGAAAAATAATTTGGAGCCAAATTTTTTTAAATTCCAAATCCTGACTTATTAACTGAGAAAAGTGTTTCTGTCTATGACCTTTACCTTCCTCATTTGTAAAGTGGTAATAGTGATTCCTTGCTTGCAGGGCTGTTGTGAGGGAAAAAATAAACATAATTTGAAGCTGCATTTTATATCTATAAAGAATACCTTCTACCTTTGAGGTCTCTCTTAGTAAGGAAAATTTTGCCTACTGGAATCTTCCCAAACTCTTCACTAGGGATACCTGCTTTCAGTGTTTAATTTAGGCCAGTATCGACGAGAGGCAGTGAGCTACAAGAACTACGAATTCTTTCTCCCAGACAACATGGAGGCCCTACTTATCAGGAAGTAAGTACCTTTTGGCTAAAGGAGGCCTTTCTTCAGATATTGAGGGTGTGGGGTAGGGTAACCTGGGACAGAGAGGAGAACCTTTAGACTCTCAAAAGGGCAACCTTCTGTCATCCTACTCAAAGCCCACTTTTGGTCCTTACCATCCCCTGCTCAAGAACCCTTCGTATTCTCCTACTTCTGATAGGAGATAGTATAAATGTCTTAGTATAGCATTTGAGATGCAAATATCAGTAGCTTACCTTACTCTACTCTCTGGTCTTATCAATTCAGCCTCAAGGTATCTTTCCCCTATTCCACTTCAAGTACTTTTGGAACAGAGCCTGGGTCTCATTTGTTGATCTATAGTCACATCATAGAATCCAATAATCAATAATCATTAAAAAAAGTTTTGCTGAAAGCATAAATATATTGCCACTGTAATACCAGAGTTTGTGATGTTTTCCATGCCAGTAATCCCTTTAACTTCAGAGATCATGAATCTAGGACTTAGCTAGGTTCAGAAATGAGTTGACCTTGAGCTCCATTTGCTTAAAGATTGAAGCCTTAAAATTAGAGCTGTGATCATTATTTAGTTTTTCCTGGGGCATGTCACTTTTTACCTGCCCCTAAACTATACACCAGTGGTGGCAAACCTATGGCATGCATGCCACAGGGCACATACAGAGCCCTTTCTGTCAATATGCAAGCCAAGTCACTCCAGCAGCCAAGTATCAGATAACAGCACAGAAAAGCACACCAAATGCAAAATTTTACCACTCAATAAAAATCTGTATCACTGAAAACTCTGTTACTATATTTTTCTTTTAAGACAAAGGATGTTAATATACAAGTTGTTTTTTCTAAACTAGAACCTCAGTATTCTGGTTTAATTACACTGTTGGCACTTTGTGATAAATAAGTGGATTTTAGGCACTTGGTCTCTAAAAGAGTCACCACCACTGTTATATACACTGTCAATTTCAACAGTGTGACCCTTACATGCTTGCCATGGTGCCTAAACATGGGATACCTTATGTAGACACCTTTTGTTTTTGCAGTGTCAGAGATCTAACCTAGGGCCTGGCAATGTATGGCAAGTACTCTACATGTATAGCAAGTGTAGATATCTATAGATAAATAATTTAGTATAAAACATATGAAATATGAGAGTTTGTACAGAAGATAATACAGATAAAATGAAAAGAATCCATCCTGGGGATAGGGTTTTTCTGTTTCTTTCTCTAATTTTTTTCAGACAATGTGCTCTGGCAGCCCTGAAAGATGTCCATAACTATCTCAGCCATGAGGAAGGTCATGTTGCGGTAAAGAAATTTCCATTTTTTTTTTCCTGGAGATGCTGAAATGGAAAATAACTAATATATACTGAGTGTTTACTATTCCATAAATTGTTCTAAGTACTTTACTTATGTTAATAGTTTAATTTTGCTCTCCCCCCATGAGATAGGTATTGTTATTGTGCCCCATTTTAGACCCAGAAAGAACGCCTCACAAGATTGAATTAATTGCCCAGTGTGGCACAGTGTGTACATGGCAGGACAAGAACTTCTCCCAAAAGTTCAATAGGACTATAATTGGAATTTAACACTATATTACAAACATTTTTGAATTCTATATATTTACCTAAATATGTAGTTGGCTTAATCTCATAGGTCTTTGGGATAGGATTTACAATCTTTTAAAGTACAAGAGACCTTCAAATACATTAATGTTCTGATCTGAGGTACTGAGGATAGGGAATTGTTTCCTGTTCTGAGGACTTCTATCATGATATGGAAGGAAGAAACTACACTTGGAAGTTTAGGGAACCAGTTCTATCTTTACTCATCAGCAACTCTTGGTGGCTTTGGCCAAAGCAATTCCCACCTAGGCCCCATTTAATTCACCTATAAAATGGCCCTAATAAAAATTTAGAATTTTTCTCTTGCCTTATTACACCCACAAATTTGGGTATTCTAAGCAGACATTAAGGGATCAATGACTATTTATAAAATTGGCAAGAGGCAATTCCAAATCCTTCCTTTTCTTCAAGACCTTCTTAAAGTTCTGCCCTCTCTGAAAGCCTTCCACCTAGCACAAGCATGGACAAAGAGAGAATGATCTATCAACACTGGTTCACAGTAAGCCAACCTCATTACTCATCTCTAGGTTTTTGATGCCACCAATACTACCAGAGAACGACGGTCACTGATTCTACAGTTTGCTAAAGAACATGGTTACAAGGTACAATTAAACTTCCACTCTTGTCTAGAAGCCACTTTTCTAGCACAAACCCCAAAGAAAGACAAACTGAAATGTTCAGCGTAAACAAATTGACCACCATAGGCTCAGCATCTTAATTTAGTTTTATAATTTTCATGGTACAGTCAAAGGCAGCAAACCAGCAGTAAGGGAGAGCTGCCACCTTAGACAATGCTGATAGGCTTACACTGGGAGACCTGTGGGATGCACTAGCAATGACAGAGTGGAAAGAACAACTACAAAATATGTATCACTAAAAAACAAAGCAACAGTAATTGGGGGCTATTCAACTTAAAGCAGGCTGCCTCATAAAACTCAGACTCCTAGAAGTATCATTGTATGAGAACATTGTGTTATTAGATGATGCCCCTGGGGAAGAAAAAGATCCATTTAAGAATAGGTCAAGCTATGTTTGACTTTTATCATAAATAATTCCCTAACTTTTGTTTTTTTTTTTTGTTTTTGCAGTGTCAAAGATCTAACCTAGGGCCTGGCACGTGTATGACAAGTGCTCTACTATACTGAGCTATATCCCATACCTTAAAATTCTGTTTTCTCTCTCTTACAGGTCTTCTTTATTGAGTCCATTTGTAATGATCCTGATATAATTGCAGAAAATATCAAGGTAAGGAGCCCCAGTTACCTTTCCTCCTTGCTCTTCCTTCGGCCTGAACCATGTCTAAAAAGACCTCTATGAGATTAAGGAAGTATTCCTATTTGTATAAGAAGCCTGTACTGACCATCCTGGCCTACAATGATCCTATGAAATTATATGAGCCATTCAGACTCCTTAATGTGCACCAAACAGCAAACTTGACTGTCATTAATTTTTTCTCAAAAACATCTGTGTGTTAGGGATCTTTTCCCTGTTAGAGAGAGGAAAGTGAGATTCCAAGAGGAGAAGTGAGTTGTCATATTCATATCACCGGAAAGAAATAGAAGTGGAACTGTACCCTATTCTTAGCTGTCTGTTTTGAAAGCTTGTGTTCTTCTTCCTTTCTCAGAATCCGTATCAGAACCATCATTGCTCTTAGATTCTAACCATGTGGTTTAGAACTAGATGACTCACCACATTTTGTTTTTCACAATGTCATCAAATTATAAGAACGCAGAAAAAGAAGAGACCTTACAGGTGATCTCCTTAAATCCTCCATCAGATACTTGAAGTGTTAGATAAATGTTTATCTATATTTTCTTTTCATACCTGGTATAACAGAAGGCTCATTCACTTTAAGAATGACAGTCCAGTCCAGCTGAAAATTACCTCCTTGTAACATCCACTCATTGTTCTTATTTTTACCTCTTGAGATATAAGTATGTCCAACTCCTTTCTTCTCTCTCTTGTACATGGAGATAGGGAAGATTCCAAATGGAGTTAATAGAACCACATTTGAACAATACATGAGAATTTTTGAAGTGAAGAATGAGTAAGAAGGAATAGCAGATACTAAGTACAGCATATCCAAGGAAGTATAAGTAGCATGTATTGACCAAAGCAAAGTGTATGGAGGAATAGGGAAGCAGCAAGAGATGGGAAAAAAGAAATAATTTGGGCCCAATTACAAGTCATGAGTCACTTAACTAGCATAGTTTACTCTTTGTCCTAAAACGTATGAGGAAATATTTAAACAGGAAAATGCCATGGTCAGATGTACATTTAGGAATATCTTTCAGTCTCTCAGTATAGTGAATACATAACATCACTATAGGGAGAATAATCTATCACAAAGCTCTAGTGAGCACAAGCAAGTGAAATGGATACTTAGAAGAGAAAAGAGGATTTAGTGCCTGATAAGAGGGAAAGGATGATAAAAGAAGCATCTCTGAGATAACTTTCAGATTTGTGTAGGCTCAGATGACTGGGTGGATCAGATGGGGGATGTGGAGCAAAAGATAAGTATTGGGAGATTAGGAGGTCCCAGTCCTTCTGAAATTCAAAAACAGGATACCAACTTCTTCTAGTAGAAACTCAATACATATAAGCCATGATTACTTCTTCCCCAAATTCTTGGTTCTTCTTCAGCCTCATCTTAGGTCATAGTTTCTAGTACTCGTATAACTTTCTAGTCCAATGTATTCTTTTTATAATGTAGCAGTCCTTGTTTGACCACATAGAGTTTATGAATGAGCTGTCATACAATTCAGAGTCTCTTCAATGGACTGATTTTGTAAACTTCGGTAAGACCTTTCTCTGAGTCTTAATTTCCTCACTTGTTATACTCAATAGTCTATGAGGGCCCTTCCGAAGGACACTGTTAGAGTTTATGTCTCCCAGTGTTTCCCTTGGTCCCTACATTCTCCCTTCTCCTAGCAAGTGAAACTTGGCAGCCCTGATTACATAGACTGTGACCGGGAAAAGGTTCTGGAAGACTTTCTAAAGAGAATTGAGTGCTATGAAGTCAACTACCAGCCCTTGGATGATGAATTAGACAGGTAAGACCCCAGCATCCCAAAGTCAATGTCTGGATTCTTTTTTTTTTTTAATTTTTTTTATTAAGGAGAAAAAGAAAAAAAAAAAACAGAAATAGGGTACAAGTTATACAGAATTTCAGAAAAAATAAACAATAGGAAATCACTAGTTAATAGATTACATATTCTTATCTTAGAAATAGTTGTTCAAGTTACAAAATTAAAGCATATAAAGTGGACATTTAAACAGTGAGACTGGAAACAGTTTTGTTCAATGATCCAACAAAACTCAATAATATGGTTATCCATCTTATGCACTCAAACATATATGCAGTTATATTCCTTAGAGCACTTTCCTTTCCTTTCTTTTGTACAATGACAATTACACATTTTGGGTTTTATTACTCCCACAGTTCTTATTACTTATTTTTGAAGAGAGTACAACCAAATGTGACATAACAGAACAGAGTCAGTCAAATCAAAAGGTTGAACATAACTAGGTTTGATTTCCTACAGAACCCCAAGGAAATGTCCTTCCTTTGTAGCATCTGTGACTTTAGATGCTACAAATGGGACTCAATCTGTCTTTATGGATCTTCTTAGTTCTAATGATCCATTAAGCAGTGATTCATTGATATGTGAGGTGTTCATGAGATGACTAAAATAGTGCTTTCCTGAGAAATATGGACAGATCAAAATTTGATCTCTGAAGACAAATATTTTCCTCCTGGGGTGCTGCCATTGTTGTTACAAAAATGTTCTTCACATAAGCATAACACTTCATTCCCCAAACATGTTCACCTTGTTTCGTTTATTGAACTCCCACAGCACCCCTATAAAGGAGGTTGAGATATGTATTATAAATTTTCAAGAAGAAATTGAGTCCTAGAAAGCTGAAACTACTTTCATAAGTTCTTACCACGAGTCAGGGGCAGAACTAGAATTCTACTTGTATATCGTGTCTCCCTGTCATGTCTTTTTTACACACTCATGATAATTTTCAGTTAGCAAGTATTTGGCCCCTTTGGGCTGTGGTGTATTTAGAGGGTGTAAGTAGGAGCAAGAGAGATGGGTTCTATTCACAGGTAGTTTGCATAGTACCTTAAAGTGTGAGACAATCCATCATGAACAAATTTTCTGTCATATATCTGGTAAAAATAGGGGACATTTAGATGGCATTACAGGCAGGTGTGAATTCAGATACAAAGTGTTCCCAGAACTCTGCTTGCTTTCCAAATGCATTGACATGAGAAATGCCGGCAATCACTTATACCCTTTGAGACTCAAGTGTGATGTATAAGAAGATCTTAAATGATAATTCCCACCCTAGAAACTTAAATAGCATCCTTTCAGCTTTACTCAGATGAAGTATTAAGAGAGTGAGCATTGTTACTGCTCCATGCTTTAGTCAGGGAAACTGAGACCCTGGTCACATAAAGCTTACCTGAGACCACATTATCATTTCTCAAAAAATTCTAGCATATTTCTCCCTACTCCTAAATCCCTGTATCATAAATATGGTCATACAGGGCCTAGACACTCTGTGAAAAGGGCATGTCCTTTATGTATAACTGTGCAGATCGTTTACTGTGCAAGTATACTGTTTAGAAGCATACTTGGTTCCATCACAAAGACATGTGCTGAATTAGGATTATGTGTCATCTGAGCCTTTTTCCAATTTCTAAGCAGGCCTTTTACTAAAAGAACCATGTAGGCTAACAGCTTATGCTGGAAGGAGCTTGAAGGAGGCAGGGCTGAAATGAAACAAGGATGTCAAGAAAGCTCCCAGCCCTGGTTCTAGATTCTGACAGATATTCTTTTGGGTTTTGATCAGTGAGTTTGAGCATAAAGAAGACATATATAGAAAGCCAGCTTTATTTTATCATTTATCCATCAATAGATATTTACAGTACATGCATCAGGTCCAGCCTTATCTGTGCCTGAGGAACCCAAAGAAGGAAGAATTACCTTACTCTGATAGAATGCCTGGTTGGTTAGAGAAGAAAATTATCAGACATTTATTCATAATTGTGGAGATAGTAAACCAAGTGGTCCAAAGGGACATAAGAGGGCTACTGTCCCAGCTTAAAAAATCAAGGCCCAGAAGAATTGGATTACCTGGTAGGCAGGTTAAATATGTGCTTAGGGGAATGGCAAGTTTCCAAAACTGAAAAAGAAAAATATCTTTAAAGTTTTTAATATTTTAATAACTAGAATTTCAAAAATATAATCAAGGGAGTCAAAAGGAGAAAAAATAATTTGGTTTGACCTCTTCATATTAAACATATAGTTTATAGTTTTCTTGATGAACATGAGTTTATTTTAGGACCAAACACTTCCAAATTACTTTACATGACCCTGGGCTGGAAGATAAACTTCTTAGAGAGAATAAATGTCCTGGATCTTGAGGGATGGATGCATAGGACTTCAGCTTTGGAAATCAGCCAAGGGATGTCTTTTCCACCAAAGAGAATAGCATTTCTTAATTGCCTAGTTGAAGAGTAAGTGGAGTACAAAGCATTTTCCAAGTGTAACAGGAAATACATGAAGATAAGAATGAAACAGAGAAGTTATCGGTTTGGATTGGGTCTGTGAGGTAAAGCCAGCATAAAACTGAAGTAATTAGACATTTTCTTAGAGTCATGCAGAACCTAGTGTTAGGAACAGAGAGTAACCAGGCAACAAGCTTATATCAGATATTTTATACTTCTAGATTCTAAGGGCTCTAGGAAAAATGATTGGAGAATGGATCATTCTTTTTGGCAGCTTCCTGAAATGACTTTAGGAAAATTACATTCTCTGAACTTCAGTTTTTCATGTATATAAAAGAGATTATAACCACTTCTCTGTGTGATGGTTATGAAGATTCATATACTTTAAAATTCCTATACCCTCTCATATGCATACAAAATGTTCAATAAATGCAATAGCTGGATAGGAATACAGGGTTGAGCATAATGAGTGTGGCACAGGCATAAAGGACTTGTCGAGTAAGATCAAGGAGCAATCTTTCTGAAAACTAATCCATTACCAGCCTTAGCTGCCTTGGGCTAATACCACTCTTTACATTCACTTGGTTTTCTTATTTGGTAGTCAGGGTCACTAGTATTGTCTCATTGCATCAGTCTTCTAGGGATCTCTCTGAACTTATAGTCTAACATATAAAGGATTAATGCCTGGCATAGCATAGATCTCTGAGAGTCTTGCTCCATTCCAGTTTTCTGATTAGTTCTCCAAGCCGCTCCACGGACAGGTGGTTGAATAGTTTGTCACTCAGTGTGTAGTTATTAGTTTATGACATAGCGCAAAAATGAGGGAATAGCAAAGAGCTTTGAGCAAGGGCTATGTGTTTCTCTTGCATGATACTGTGGACCACTTCTGTATTTCCATGTCCCAGTACTTGGCACACTTTATAATGAGTGTTTGTGAAATGAATGTTAAGCATTGATCATATATTTCCAAGTATATATGTCTGCCTGAACTAAGAGTTCCCAAAGGGCAGATGCTAGCTGTCCATCTCAAGGATAATACCTTGAAAAGTGGAAGATACGTGTGGACTGCATGGAAAATAGGGAAGGAACTCAATCTAACCTACTTACAAATGAAGAGAGATACACAGATACAAAAATACATAGACACAACCTGGTAACTGCTTGTGGAGTATAAAGTACAATATATCTTGATTGAGGCTTAACGAAATGGGAATGGAGTTCAGTTTAAGATTAAAAGACACTGGGGAATGAACAAGACAAGCTGCCAGTGAAATGTTGGGAGATAGCCAGAAATACAGAAGTGGAAATGACAGAGGAGAAAACCTCAGCTGTCTACATTGTGAAGAATAAAGTTGAAAGAAAGCCTGGCTCAATCTGAGTTTGAGGAAAAAAGACTAAGGGAGATAGTATCAGACAGTGAGCTGCTTGGGGTATTCAAGAACTTGCTTTCAGGATCTATATCCAAAATAGGACAAGGCGAGGCAGCTCATTAGATAAGAGCTAAATTGCAAAGGAGACTTGAAAGCAGGTTGTACAGTTGGGGTTTTCCCTTGGGATCAGTCTACCTTATAATTAGCTCCTGAGCTGCCTTTGTTCCTGTTTGGATCTGGCCCAGCCATCTATCCTACATCAAGATCTTTGATGTGGGCACACGCTACATGGTGAACCGAGTGCAAGACCACATCCAGAGCCGTACAGTCTACTATCTCATGAACATCCACGTCACACCACGTTCCATCTATCTATGCCGGCATGGTGAGAGTGAACTCAATCTCAGAGGCCGCATCGGAGGTGACTCAGGCCTCTCAGCTCGGGGAAAGCAGGTAGGGAGGGCTCCATACACTCATGTGGGTTGCTGAGCTGGGTGGCCACTGCCCAGATTCTGAGGAAGAGATACATAGTGACGAAGTAGGAGCAGATTCTGTCACGCTTGGTCTTACACATTTCTAGTCACCCAGTCTTGATACAGCCGTTAAGTGGTTTCCATAAGCCAACTGCTGCCTATAAGTCTAATAGCTCGGTCTTGATTCTCCAGTCCAACCCACATCTGGCCGCTTCTGTAGCTCCATCACAATGTCCATAGTTGCCCCTGTCTAATGAGTTTCCTCATTGTTCACACCATTCAGCCTTTGCCTGTGCCCACATTGCTGCTATTCTCTGTCCCTCTGTCAGCTGGTAAAAGTCATGTGCACAGACACATACCCTAAGGATCCCCATTCTGAAACCTTCTTTCCAGATCAGGGCTGATACTGGCCTCCCCATTTCTATCACAGGAATCATACTGCAAACATCTTACTCTATTTTTCTTGCCTCCCTTACTCCCTTTCAAGGCCTAGTTTCTGGTCCAAGATCCGACCCAAAAAGCTTTCCTTATCTACTCCTCCTCTTCCTATGCAGGTTACAGAGCCCTGGGCTTCATCTCTCCTCATTCTGGTTATCTTTGATTCCCTCAGGACAAAGTCTCTTCGTCTTGTGTGGACATAGTAACCTGCACATTCTGGATGATGGATCTATGAAGGGATACATTTTCCCAGCAATCTGGTGCTGTAGCTGGGTTTGACAGCACAGATGTTGCTTATTGAGAGGTTCACTTGGGATGGGACAAGTGGGAAATAAAGCAGAGAAGGGACATTCATGGTCATTGTTATTGTTGTCACATATTGGATACCTACACATAGTCATGATGCTATCTGCTGCCACATGTATAGCCTCATTTAATCTTTACAACAGCTGCATGGGAAGGAACAGTGATTACTATTACTGGTTTTTCGATTGGATCCAGAGAGGAACAGAAGATGGCCCCAGATCACAGAGTTTGTATAGGACAGAGCTGACTGAGCCTTCCTACCTGATCTAAAACTCCCTGCTAGAGATATGCGAAGTACTCCAGGCACAGTGGTACCTCAAAAAATTCAGTCCTCAAAGCCACATTCTGTTTCCTCTAGACTGGCACTCCCCTGAAGGTAGGCTCTAATCTGACTCGCCTGTCCTACTCCTTAGAACAGAGACCACCAAATTATCAGTCCACCCCCATAGCACCATGTGCACCCCATGGTTTCTTGGCTGGAGCTGTCCCTGGCACTTCCCCCACAGCTCAGAGTGTGGTGGAGCATGTAGCCATCTCCATGTACATGCCTCCCACTCATAGAAACAGGTGCATATGCACACACATGCCAGACTTAAACTTTCACAATCATGGGCATAGTACACCAGGTCTAGTTTACAAGTACTTCACCATTCACTCTTTCACCAGTCACCAAAGCTGTTACTCCTGCAGCATCTATTACAATATGCCTTACCCATCATCTAAAGTGATACTGAGAAACTAATGTGCTGCTGACATCTAAAAGGCTAGAAAGGGTCATGGATGATCCAGTGGCACAGAGAGACCATATAAGGGAGATGGCAGGCTAAGTGAAATTTGCTACCTCTCAAGCAAGAACTTCTGCCAGAGCTGACTCATAACTGTCCTTAAATGTATACATAAAATACCTATATTTGTAGATATACTTGTATGATGGTGTACATTTATTCAGATATTCCTAGCATACACCATCAGTGATTCAAAACACATCTATTCACAGGAGAGTAAATCCTTTTCTCTCCTGGGTTCCCACAATCCTTTGTGGTTCTTCTCAGTGCTGTCATTATAATCTTTCCTATGTTGGCTATATCTTGAGGAAATAAATACTGAAGCACCTAGCGGGGACATATACACTCAGTACATAAGTGCATGCCCTTCAAACTTGAGTACTAGAAACCTCACTCAAGTAATGATGATACACATCATGAAGGAGAAATTCTTCCCAAATCCCATTCTACCCACTTTCAGACCAAACTCTCGATACCTTGAACTCATCATGAGCTGGGTCTTGCTCCAAGTGTCTTCACAGGCCTGTCTTGAGAGTCTGTCTGCTTAAGTGTGGGTCATGTCATAGGAGTGTTCACCCTTAAGCCAATGGATAGCTAAGGGATTGCTGTTTGTGGAACATGGAGATCAGTACAGATGAGGTGTTACCAGAACTTAGTCATATGTCTTAATAATCTACAAACATGTAATTAAGGCCCCTAGAAGTATAGAATGGACCCAGAAATGGAAGGACAAAGGGTGTAGACTGTGTGTGTGAGGCCACCATTTTTACTCTTGCCCTAGGTTCCACAAATGTTAGAATAAATGTTTATGAGCATGAATACCCTAGTATGGGGGCAAGTATCAGTGACTGCACACACATATAGATGCACAGAAGCACACTTACTCCTTTCTATTTCCTTTACCATTAATCTCATGAGGAAGAATATAACTACTTTGGTTTTTGACTTTTTTGTACATTTTATAATTGTAAACATTTTGTATACAATTGATATTTCAACACCATATATATATAAATATATATATTTATATATCACTTCATTTATCATCTCTTCGTAGTAATTCTTTCTTCTAGGTACAGTGGTACCTCAGTTCATGAGCCATTCTACAATTTTCGAAAAGATGGCTATGTTTGTGTTTGTATGGGAAAGATGGCTATGTTTGTCTGTCACCTGATACAGGGTTTGCAAAAAAAGAAAGAAAAAAACAAAGTTTTGCCAAATGCTTTTGCTTGTGGACCAACTTGTTTGCAAAATGTTTGTGAATTGAGGTAGCATTGTAATATGAAATACGCTGCACCTTATTTTTAGTTACTGTTTTTCTTTTTTTCCATATGGGGAGTCAAACTCACAACCTTGCAATTGCCAGGCAGGCACTTACACTGCTAGTTAAATCTCCAGCCCAGCACCTTATTTTTAATTATGGTTATTACTCCACTCTGAAATAGACTATTGGAACTTATATGTTCTGTAACATTGTTGATCAACCTGTCCCCCAACAGTATGCATTCTGATAAATTTGGAACATTGAAGCTCTGCTCTTACTCCATTATTTGTGACAAGTTAGTGCTTCTTCTCATAGTTTCCTTATCCTTTTTAATTTCTCTTTTTCCCCTCTTCTCTTCTACACTCCCTCATCTCAGTATGCCTATGCTCTGGCCAACTTCATTCAATCCCAAGGTATCAGCTCCTTGAAGGTATGGACGAGCCACATGAAGAGAACTATTCAGACAGCTGAGGCTCTCGGTGTCCCCTACGAGCAGTGGAAGGCCCTGAATGAGATTGATGCGGTAAGATGGGATGAAAGAATCTCCTTGCAGATTGGGGGATTCAGATGTAAACTTTTGCCTTAACTGCCTCTGTTCCAGCCTGTATGAGGAATTTAGCTCAGTGAATATTTCTTGACAGCCATTTTCCTGACACCATTGTTTTCTTGGATACCCAGTGAAGGCCAGGGTTTTTGCTCTCATGAAGCCCAGAGGCAGACAGTAAACTGGGAGGAAATAGACAAAGAACTATGGAGGATCAGAAGATGAAGGTACTTCTGAAGAGATTTGGGAAAGAGATTTATAAGGAAAGCTTCCTGAAAGAAACTAGAGGTGAGATAAGTAGCAGGAAAAATGGTTTAAGAATGAGACAATAAATTTTAGTTCAGGGACAGGAAACAGAGCATTTAATGGCTCAGAGATGAGAACAGAGCATGGCATGTTCATAGAATCAAAAGAGATACTGGGAAAGTGATAGGTTTGGAGAGAAAGGAGATGAGGCTGAAAAAAGACTCAAGTCATATTAAGATATTCAGATTCTCCCCTGAAAAGAACAGGAAGCCATTGACATGGTCTATGTAAAAAATGAGTAGTCTGAAGATAATAAACATCTTTAAAGCCAACTCTGAGATTGTGTAGAGACTAGCTGGGAAGAATAATAGAATGAGCATTTAGACCAGTAAAGAAATGGCTATATTAGTGTGTCAGGAAATAGAGATATGGACCAGAGTAGTTACATTAGAGATGGAATAATGAAGAAGGATTTGGAGAGTGTTTCCAGAGTAGCATCAGTATGTGACTTGATGATGCAAGGCATATGATGTAAGAAGGAATAGGGAGGAGTGAAAGATCCAACCTTGGTTATGTGGTAGTTTCTCTTCAGAACAGGTTTTCCTGTGAGCTCTTGACAAAGGTTTTTTTTCCTTTCCCTGTTTTACCTGTGCTGCAGGTGTGCTGAACTCACATGTTATGGTTGTTAGACTCCAACATTAGAACCTCACCAGAGATATAAGGAACTTACTTGCCTGCTAGATATTCTTCTATAAACATTCATGTGTGTATGTATTCATATGTATGGACATAAATATAGCTGGGCAGAGGTACACATGTTTAGAAAAGGGTTCTATAGTACAATTCAGTATATCATATACATTTGCAATAAAAAGATGGATGAAAATATGTAAACTCTTCATCATAAGATTTTGGCTACTGCTTATTTCTGACCCACAAGTGGTTTAAACATTTATGAAAACCAACTTTTTCAGGTTCTGGGGTAGTGCTGGTAGGAGAGATTAATCTTGACTGAGTTGACTCAGGATGAATTAGCAAAGTCAATCCATCTTGACTGAGTTTTTAGGCTAAACAGGGCAGACAGAGGAATACAAAACAGCATGACTCTAATTAGTGATGCCATGGATGCATACAAACAAATACAAAACATCTTGACTTAGCCAGGATATGCCTGAAGGAGGTAATGCCTAGCAGAAGCCTTAGGGTTAAGTGGGAGTGAACCAGGTAGAGAGGATCTAGAATGGTGTTTTTTGAGGAGAGAGCAGCATAAGTGTATATACAGATTCTAAAGTTGTAGCAGTAAAGATAGATAGAAAGAAGATTTGGGAGAGATTTAGTAATTAGAATCTCAGAAATTGGTATAGGTATTGGGTAAAGAAAAAGCAAGAATTTAGAATGATTCCTACATTTCTGGTTTATTTTCCATTATTGATAATATTAGTGTTTAATGCCACTGATTCTTTTATATGTGTCTTGTACATCTTGTATTACTATATTTCATATATATTATCTCTAATAGTCAAAACACTTCTATAAGTTGGAATTTTCATTTTAGAAGTGAGTACAATAACATCCACAGAGATTAGGCAATTTACTTCGTCAGGAAGGAGTCAGTATCCATTTTCACAGGCAAAAGGCTCCAACATGCCTCAGAATAGAAAGTTGCAGCTATTTTGGAAGAGCCTGTATATCTAGTATGGTGAATTTTCTTTCATGGTAGTGTTGGAGAAGTTTGACCCTGCAGAACTGTATGTAGATTATGAAAAAGATTTATTTCCTTATCCTTGAGAGATGGTCCCAAAAGACTATAACCAGAGGTTTTTGCCACTCTGCAGAAAGGCCTTATTGAAATTCATATACTCAAAACTTTACAAACCCAACATCCATTCCCACCACCTCAAACAAATGCAGTAGTTCTAGAGATTTCTCAGTAGACCTGAAAGTTCCCTTATACTCCTAAGAAACTCGTTTTCTCAGCTTTCAATTCCTTCCTTTGATGAAGAGAGTGTATCTCCTAAAGTCCATTCTGAAACACTAGGAATTCACTAGTTTTTGTCCTTTGAAATATATATGGATACCTGTTTATCTTAAGAGGTCCTTAAAATATGGGTTGGGTTAGAAGAGACAGAAAGTACTATAAGATAGGAAAGTACCACTATATTGTGTGCACACATATATACTTGCACATGGAGTCATAGATACCTGCCATCAGTTTGCTTATATTTACATAATGTACTTTACATACATTGGAACCTTTTTTACCGATTACTTCTGTATCATATATGCACATTATATGCATATAGGCAAAGTTAGACATACTCATCAGGTCCTCATGCAGTCATAATCACATAAACATAATGAAGCATACCAAGGATATATTGTGATAACTCGGACCCCGGTATAAAATCCAAGGAAGCAAGAAATTAAAATTTGGGGAGCAAAGGCCTTATTTTCAGGCCTGGTGGCACAGTCTCTCTAGGGTCAACCCAAAGACTACGCGCCTGACAGCTAAAAGTCAGGGCTTTTATCTTGTAAATCCACAAACAGCTGCTGGTTGCACAATGTAAGGAGGGGGAAGGGGGTACGGTGCACTACAAAACAGAAACAGAGATTGCAAGTCTCCCTGTATACAAGCAAGTTTAGATAAGAAGAAGTCTTGTTTTTCTTAGCAAGAATAGAGAAGTCTAACAGCAATTAACAACCTTAGTTACCTTACTTTAGCAGCACAACTGTTATTTGTAGAGAGCCACAATGGTTAACATACCAATTAGGTAAGATTTTACAATTCTTTACAGAGGAGAGCATTGATTAACATATCAATTAGGTCACCCAAAGGGAAAAGGAAAACACATATACAGTAAGGCCAAGTTACAGGTATTGCTATGATACAAATATAACGAAGCTATTTTTGTGAAGAATAGTACAATCTAATACAATCTAATGCAATTAACACAATTTGTGATGGGCCACCAGGTAGGGAAGGGGGTTTTCAGGAGCTATTACTTCAGGCCTTTGTTTTATGGTCTTTCGGGAAGTTAAAACTTAACCTAGTTAGATATGAAGGGAGAAGCGGACGGGAAGCAGCAGGTGGCGCTTATACAGAACAGACTTTATGGCGCGATAGTTAGGGGGCCATAGGTTATAACATACATACATGATATAGATACATAGCTTCAAACATACTACTATAAATTCACATAGCCTTTAAACACAGGTATGCAGATATACATACAGCAAAAACATAATGAATGACATCACACTAATATATACACACATCATAGATACACTATGTTGTGGCTTATGTCTAGATGTCCCTGCAGAATCTCAGGCAGGCATAGATAAGGTTTTTCACAGATGACTAGATCTAAGTGTGTGATGCTGGGTTAAGAATACGTGAGTACTAAATTAGTCCATTGATTGAGTGTAGATAATGGGAAGGCCCACCCTGTGTATGAATGCTGCCCTCCCTAAAGGGAAAAAAGAGGGATGTTATTGTCACTTGTTGCTTGCTACTTCACTGCTTTGCTACCTTCCCATCTTGAACTGCTTATCTTTTGTTATTCCCCTCTGCCATGCTACCCGGCCTTGGAGCCAGCTGATTATGGACTGAAACCACTACAAACTGTGAGAAAAAATAAACCTTTCTTCCTCTAACTTTGACTGTTGGATATTTTGTCTCAACAATTCAACAACTAACTGACATATTTGAGTACTGTGAGTGGTGTCATTGCTGTGATTGTACCTGATTGTATGGTTAAGGAGCCACTGGTACTGGCTTGCAGGAAGAGTTTAGAAAGGTTTGAAGATGCTATGTGAAGAAGCTTTCCTGGAATGCCTTAGGCTGTATTAGGAGATTCTGGTCAGAGCTCAGAATACAAGAATGCTAATAAAAGACTGCCAGTAAAGACCAGGCTCAGGAGATTTCTGCTGGGAAGAAAGACTTCATTGGCTATTAGATCTCATGATGTATATTATGCCTTTTTAGAAAGTTTGTCTGCATTTCACTCATGTCCAGAAATGTTGCCTGAGACTGAGATGAAGGGTGGCAGACTAATTAATCTTACAGAAGAAATTTCAAGGCAGTCTAATATTGAGGAAATGGCATGGCTACACTGGGGGGCTTTAACCCAGATCTATGTTGTGAGTCAAGAGCAAAGAGTCCAGGAGCATGATTTAAAGTATTGTGAATTCAGTGATAAAGGAAGCACAAGTAAAGCTGTGGATTGCAAAGATGGAAAATAACAGAACTTGGTTGCTGAGAAAGAATAGGAGAATAGGAAAGATGGCCTGAGGACATCACAAGAAACAGCAGGATTCTAGCCTTGGTAGTCTCAGGGTTACCAATGTGAAAGTATTTGCTTTGAGGAAAGAGCCCCTAGAGCACCAGATTCCAGAATGGCAGGGGCCTAGAAAACTTGTTCCTCAGAATTTTTTCTTTTTTTTTATTTAAAGAGATTTTTTTAAAAACAGAAAAAAAGGGTAGAAATAACACAGAATTTCAGAAAAATAAACAATAAGAAATCACTGGTTGATAAGTTACATATTGTCATCTTAGAAATAGTTGTTCAAGTTACAAAATTAAAGCATACAAAGTGACATTCAAATAATGACACTACAAACAATTCTGCTCAATGATCCAACAAAAACTTAGTAATATGGTTATCAGTCCTACACACTTGTTTTTATCTTAAAGAGGGTAAAATTATACATGACAATACGGAACAGAACAGTTC